AGAGATGCATATGGATAGGAATGGGGGAAGGGACTCAGGTCTTCCATGTCCTCTACAGAAACAGTGCCCTTCAGGAACCTCCATGTATTTAGCAATCTGGAAGCACTCCAAGACTTGTCACTTGTGAGCTTTTATGGAAACTTTAATACACAGGCAGGATTTTCTATCAGGGACCACTGGTGATGGACTTAACTTGCACACATAGCCCCACCACCAAGGCTGAAAGTCCCAACCCTCTAATGTCTTTCAGGTGAGTATCCTCCATCCTGAAGCTACGGAAGCCATCAGCTAACTCATTAGCACGCACACGGACACTGAAGATTCTAAAGATTTTAGGCCTCATTTGCAAGGAAACAGGAAGAAGACTACATATTCCACAGTATATTTTGCAACACAAGTAGAGTGGATGGCTCAGTCATAGGGAACTTTATTAGATAATGCCAAATTGTTTTCCAGTTTATACCTGTGTTCTAGTGAGGGAATATATTAGTCCTAGAACCTTATTTCTTTTTTTGGGGGGAGATTTATCCTTTTTTAAAAATTTGTTCTTTTTAGATCTACATGACAGTAGAATGTACTAACATATTGTGCATACATGGAGTATAACTTATTCTAATTAGGATCCCATTCTTGTGGTTTAAAATAATGTGGAGTTACACTGGTCATATATTCATATATGAACATGGGAAAGTTATGTCTGATTCTTCTACTGTCTTTCCTATTCCCATCCATGTCCCTTCCCTCATTTCCCTTTGTCTAATTCGAAGTACTTCTATTCTTCCCTCCCCCTTGTTATTGTGTGTTAGCATCCGCATATCAGAGAACATCTGGCCTTCGGCTTTTGGGGATTGGCTTATTTCACTTAGTCTGATACTCTGATTCCATCCATTACCAACAAATGCCATAATTTCATTTTTCTTCATGGCTGAGTAATATTACATTGTGTATATATACCACATTTTCTTTATTCATTCATCTGTTGAAGGGCACCTAAGTTGGTTCCATAGCTTAGCTATTGTGAATTAAGTTGCTATAAACATTGATGTGCTGCATCAGTGTGGAGTGTTGATTTTAAGTCCTTTGGGTATATATTAAAGAGTGGGATAACTGGGTCAAATGGTGGTTCCATTCCAAGTTTTCTGAGAAACTGTCATACTGCTTTCCAGAGTGTTTGCACCCATTTGCAGTCCCACCAGCAATGTTGCACCAATTTGTAGTCCCACCAGCGATGCAGTCCCCACATCCTTGCCAACATTTTTACTTGTATTTTTTTAAAGTACACAAATAGTGCACACATTTTCTCTGGTTGTACACAAAGTAGATCTTCATGTCTTCACACATGTATCTAAGGTAATGATGTCCATCTAATTCTATTCCCATGCCCCCTCCCTTCCCCTCCTGGAACTTTGCCCTATCCAAATTCCTCCATTCTCCCATGCTCTCCACCACCAACCCACATTATGGATCAGCATCCATTTATCAAAGAAGACATTCAGCCTTTGTTTTTTGGTGATTGGTTTACTTCACTTAGCATGATGTTCTCCAACTCCATCCACTTACCTACAAATGCCGTGATTTTATTCTCTTTTCATGCTGAGTAATATTCCATTGTGTATATAAACCACAGTTTCTTTATCCATTCATCTATTGAAGGGCATCTAGGTTGGTTCCACAATTTAGGCATTTGAATTGGGCTGCTATAAACATTGATGTGGCTGCATCACTGTACTATACTGTTTTTAAGTCCTTTGCATATAAATTGAGGAGTAGGTATCTGGGTCAAATGGTGGTTCCATTCCAAGTTTTCTGAGGAATCTCCATACTGCTTTCCAGAATGGTTGCACCAATTTTCAGTCCCACCAGCAATGTATGAGGGTACTTTTTTCCCCACATCCTTGCCAACATTTTTATTACTTGTAGTCTTGATGAATGCCATTCTGACTGGAGGGAGACGGAATCTCAGTGTAGTTTTAATTTACATTTCTCTGCTAGAGATGTTGAACTTTCCTTTAAGTACTTTAAACAGTTTGAAATACTGATTTTTACAGAATATATTTTATTTAGGAAATGATTTTTTAGATACTATGAGTTGTATCTTGTGATCAGAACTATTTCCGTTGACTTAGAATGTCTAAAGATGTTAATCACCCACAATTTCATTCAGTAGTAACAAGAAAAAAAATAATTTCAACCAACTTAAGTGGTAGGAGCAAAAGTATTTTTCTTCTGTTCTATAGATAATATGCAACTGCAACATATTGGCTTTAATTTGTATGGTTTTTCTAGTTATACAATCCTGTGATCTAGAAATTATAATTTTACCTCTTTCAAGTTTTACTTGCTCACTAGAAACAATTCTGCAAGCAAAATAACATATATGAAACATGAATTTCTCAATAACTCATTAGTATTACACAAAGTGATCCACTTTTAGTCATCATGAAATGTACAAACAAAACCATAATAAATAGTTGGTACAGACTCATTGATTTTCCTGTGATCTCATGTCACAAACCCACAATCCCACAGACCCACCATGACATTCCATTTACAAATCCAGGGAATCCATCACATAACCCTATATAGACATCAAACCAAACTCAGAAAGCAGTTGCCTCAAACACAACTCCTTTACAATTAATTATCCTAAAATTTTATCAGTTTCTTAGAAAGTTAAACTTATCAATTACCCAGCAATTATTTCTTCTAGATTTTACCCAGAAGAAATGAAAGTATTGTTAACTTTACAATGTTTAAGACCTGTAAATAAACCAAATGATATTAAGAGAAAAAATGAATAAACAAATTGTGGCACATTAGCACAATGGAATGTTCATCTGAAATTTAAACTACATTAATATAGTATAAACTACATTAAGAAGTATATAAATAAAATATAAACTACATTAAGAAGTATGAGGGCTGGGGTTGTGGCTCAGCAGTAGAGCACTTGCCTAGCAAGTAAGTGCAAGGCCCTGGGTTCAATATTCAGCATCACATAAAAATAAATAAAATATTGTGTTGTGAACTGATAAATACTAATCAATAAGAGTATAATAAAGGTTATAGATTAGTAAAAAAGAATACAGATTATGGATATAAGATTTTGATAAGTGAGATAAGATAATTATAAAGCAAGAACAGTCACAGACAGGCCTGACTCCATTTTGCTGCCTCCTGTAAAAAAAAAATGTTACAAGAGTTGTTTATGAGAAAATGAAATAAAAGCTGTTTTCTTATAAAAATTATTTTTCTGTACTTTGTACTCCACAAATTGTACCTTGGTGTGAGTGCCCTTGTGGGTCTACATGACTTTGAATTGGTTTCTCGCCCCCACCGACCCCTATCCCCCAAATTCAGGTCTAGCACCTGCTTGAACCCAGGAAGATGGTCAACTGAACTGCAAAGGTAATGCTCTTTTTTAGCTTCTATTTATCGCTTGATTGTTGACCAGAAAATTCCAGTCCTGCCTAGAGCCCACAAGTCCCACTTATTAATGTTTTAATTTCTGTGATTGGCTCGCTTATGTGGGTCACTGAGTTGGGATTTTTGTGCTTATAGTCTCCTTGGATGGACCAGGAAGCTGCTATCCTCTCATAGAGCTTGAGTCTGTGCTGTGGGTGACAGTCACTGACCCAGTAAATAAAGCTCCTTTTTGATTTGAAATTCGGACTTAAAAGAGTGGTTTCTGGAGTGGCTGCCCATAACATTGTATCCAACTACAATTTAAAAACAATATTTTTTTTTAAAGAAGTAGTATGAGATACTATGATCAGCTAAAGGAGACAGGGAATTCTCAATTGAAAACTAAATTATGGTGACAGAAATTCGAACTCTGTAGTGAAACTGATTGGAAAAGGACAGCTGGTAAGTTCCTGGCCACAAACTGAGCGTCTACAAACACGTCCGACGCCGCCCTGGGCGCTGGGGCGTTCTTTTGGGGAATAACTAACGAAACCCTCCAGCAACCCTCGGTCCTGAGCACGTCCCACGCCCTGGGGCTCTGCACTTTCAGGCCCGAGTAGAGCGAACCTCCCTCCTACCCAGGGTCCCAGTTCTGACCTCGGCTCTACTCGGCCGAACTCAAGATACCCCTTTTAGGGTTCGGGGTTCCAGTTTTCCAGCGGGTGGGGGCAACTCGGTATTCCGGTGTACTTCCGGCGCCAACCCTAGCAAGCACTTCCGGGTTCCTTTGCTCGGCGGCCTGGGTTTTCATTATTTTCTCCGCCGGCTTCCAGACGACTGGCGATCCTCAACCCTCCTCCGAGTTCCTGGGAACTCCCGGGAGATTCCCGAGCCTCGTGGGGTCTGTGTGGCCGGTGGGTTCTGCCTGAACGTTTGGACATGCCGGCGTTGGACTCCGTTTCCCACAGGCTCAGAGCCACGGATGAACCTGGAGCGTTGGTTCCCCTTCCGGTGTGGTGGTGTGGCGCACTTCCTGGGGAATTGAGGCGGCTGAGGTCAGGCCCCGGCTCTCCCGAGGCGGGATGGATACTGTGGAGCCCGAAGCTACAAACCTGCGCAAGCCGCGAACGTTTGTGACGGCGACCCTGCAGGGTGTGGATGTACGAGAGGGAAGGGCTGAATGTGTTTGTGACGACGCCCTGGTGTGCGCCCTGATTGGTTTCTGATTGGACTCGTGTGACCGTTTCACTTGGTGTTTGGTGATGTAGGTGTTTCACTCTGTGACCTACTTGCCGAGCGTACCAGATGAAGTTTTTGTTTTCAACGAGTCCTTAGTGTCCCTTCTTCTTTTTTGTGATATTCTCGGTACCCAGCTTGGTGCATAACATAGAAGGGCATTGTGGCGTGAGTGACCACCCACCCCAGGTTCTAGTTGTGGGTTCCGTGGTTTTTTTGGAACATGTTTCCGGAATTGTCTTTTTCTGTCCTCACAGCTAGCTGTAGAGAAATAGTCATCACAAGAGAAGTCGTGTATTTCGGCCCAGAGTGGAAGTTCCAAGCAGAAAAGAACATTCTAAGTCATGAGGTGTGAATTGCATTGGCCTCCCAGATATGCTCCGGCGAAGATACTGAGGGGAGGGAGTTTTTCCTGGGAGATGGCCCCTTGAATACCCTGTGGAGGCATTTACACATTTCCTAACCACAGTATTTCCTGAGCTGTGTCCCCTAGAAGCCTATGTGAACCCCGAGGACAGGCTCTAGGCATTGATGATTCTGACACGGAGAAGAGTCTGTAGTTTTCTAGTTTCCCCTCTTCCATCTGGGTTTATGGGTTGTGTATGATGGGTGCTTGTCTGGTGGTGGACAGTATTATTTAGCCAGTCCAAGATCTCACAAGTCAGACTGATCTCACAAGTCCTTTCTTCTTGGTCATGTTATTCCTCAAGAGAAAGAAGGCTCCTGAAGTGGAAAGGAGCACTGCTTTTTAACGGCCATCTCAAGGTCAGTTTGTATTTATTTTTGTTCTGTCAAATGCATTTTTCGTTTTTTTGTTTTTTTCGAGTGCTGAGTACTTGAAAAAAGTACTCAGGCCCTTGTGCATGCTATGTCAAATATATTTTTGTTTTATGAAAAAAACTATTTGCTTTCCTTCTCCTGAATTGCTTTGCCTTATTGTGACCTATCCTTTTATCTAATTCCTAGATTTTCCCTTCCTAAGTAATAACATAGAGATGGATCCCCTTTTCCTCCAGTGCCATTTATTTCTTCAGTTACTGTGTGTTCCTAGGGCCATTTCCAGAGGCCTTAATTTTTTTGTGTTGTTGCGATAATATTTTACCAGTTTCACTGGGGAACATGCCCATCGAGCTTTACCCACTCTTATGCCAGAAGTGGAATTTCCTGACCGGTTCTTCACAGTTCTAACCATGGACCATGTGAGTAATTTCTCTCTTCATGAATATTTCCTTTTTCTGAATACACAACAGCTATAATAGAGAACGAATACCACATCCTCATCTTTTTCATTTTCTAGTGAGGGCTAGAATCAATCAGTGTCCCTTCTGTGTGCCCATCTGTTCTCCAAATGATGTTCAACACTCCCTATGTCTTCAGTCTACTATAGAGTAAGAATGGAATCCCTGGATTTTCCTTGTCATATTATTGAATATGGGAAAAAAAGCAGACAAATATTTGATGACATGGGCAAACTCTAAAATTCTCCACAGACCTGAGTTTCCAGATGGATTTGATTTGGCCCCAAGTTATACAAAATGATAAGATTAAAATTAGAAAATATTGGCTGGGGATGTGGCTCAAGCAGTAGCGGGCTTACCTGGCATGCGCGGGACTCTGGGTTTGATCCTCAACACCATATAAAAATAAAGATGTTGTGTCCACCTAAAAAAACTAAAATAATTATTAAAAAAAATAATAATTACAAAATATCTCATCTAAATGCTTAAGTGTAAGTAAGTCGCTTTTGAATAGGTAGTCTATTTTGTAGCCACTAAAAAGCATGTATTAAATAATTTGTCATCAGAAGTAATAATTGTAAAATATGAAATGATACATAACATATAGCATTGAACTGGGGGCTTCTAGAAGTATGTAAGTTTTATCTTTTGAAGCACTGGAGATAGAACCCAGGGTCTTATACATGGTAGGCAAGTGCTCTACTATTAAGCTATTATACCTTTAGTTCCTGTGAGGGATTTTTAATTTATTTTCTAAGTTAGATATTTTTCTTATGCAGAGGAATGAAGATACAGAAACTTAATCTTTATTGATGATTCATGAAGTGGACCCATAGCAACATGCAATGGCATGTAGACACTATCTCATTTAATATGTGAACTGATTATTTTATTAATTCCCAGACATGTTTGGCTACTTACAAAATCCCACATTGTTTCAGATTTCTCTGCATTAAATGGATTCTTTAAAGACATACATAGCCTGATTTGGAAACACTAATTCCCTTATTTCTTAAGTCATAGGCTTATATCCACAGTATACTTGATTAACATCTAGTTCCCTTTCTATAATGCAGTTTTTTATTTCTTTTTCTTGAAAAGATTTCCTTAAATTTTACTGTAATATTTGGGTTTATTGTTTCAGGAATTGGTGACATTCAGAGATGTTGTCATCAACTTCTCTCAGGAAGAGTGGGAATACCTGGATTCTGCTCAGAGGGATTTATATTGGGATGTGATGATGGAGAACTATAGCAACTTGGTCTCACTGGGTAAATTTATCTGCATCAAATAATTTAGAATATGTTCTCTAGAATATAAACTAATATTCAGTGAACTCAAGACTATCTTTAAAAAAAAAACTACTGAATTTCTTCTCCCTATTCCAAAAATATTGTTTCATTGTTGTTATATTCCAGAGTAATCCTCCACTAAATATCTTCCTCATATTCATACCAGGCAGTTTATATAATTTCTATCTTCCTTGATTCTAAGGGAGCTGGAATTGACTTATAGGACATATATAGCATATCATAGGGATATTATATTGTATTTGATCTCAGAATTGCTGTAGATTTATTGTGTTGTTTTCTTTTCCACTCTGTTGGACAAACACTATGACAAGTCCCAATTTTTATGACTATTAGAAGAATCTCTACAATTTACATATTGTTGGGTTGATAAACAGAATTCTTCATATTCATTTACTGCCACAAATATAGCTGCTTTTTGGTTAAAGAACTTTGCATTTAATACAGGGTTTGTTTTGGTCTTAGTCACCATTGTACAGAGCACTGTGTCTTCAACATAGACACCAAGTCAATATGTCTCAGAAAGCTACTTATTTTCCTCTTAGCTTACAAAGTTTTTGCCTCACCTTAAGCTTTAAATAATTGACTCATTTAATTTTTTTTTATTTTAGTTAGTTATATATGATAGTAGACTGCATTTCTGCACTTTAGTATATCATATAGGTGGGTTGACCCATTTAATTCTTAAGGTAACACTGTTACATACTGTTTTATAGAAGAGATTGCTTATGACAAAAAATATGAGGTATATGTTTAGGGTTATACCACCTCTTAGTATCAAGAGGCAGCTTTTGGGGCTGGGGTTATAGCTCAGTGATAGAGCACTTGCACTGGGTTCAATCCTCAGCACCACATAAAAACAAATAAAGATATTGTGTCCATCTTTTTTTTATATATATTTAATTTTTAGTTCTTGGCGGACACAACATCTTTGTTTGTATGTGGTGCTGAGGATCGAACCCGGGCCACACATATGCCAGGCGAACGCGCTACTGCTTGAGCCACATCCCCAGCCCCATTGTGTCCATCTTAAAAAAAAAAAAAAAAAGAGGCAGCTTTTCTGCTCAGGCAGGCTGGCGACAATGTATTCTTTTTTTCTTTTAGCTGGATTTTTATTTATTTATTTATTATTTATTTATTTTAATGTGGTGCTGAGGATTAAACCCAGTGCCTCACACATGGCAGGCAAGTGCTCTACCACTGAGCTACAGCCCCAGCCCAAACACACAGTATTCTTAACTGTCACATTAAACTGGTTCTCAAGACAAAGAACCAGTATGGGTTCAAATAATGTAAGACCTGTATTAACTGTCTGGTTTCTCCGTGTTTTGTAATTCTGTGGTTATTCCCAAAGTGAAATATTCTTCTAATTCCTTCACATTTCTCTTCTATGAAGTGTTTATCATCATTTTTTTAAAAAAATTTTTTAATTGTAGTTGGACACAATATCTTTATTTTATTTATTTTTATGTGGTGCTGAGAATTGAACCCAGGGCCTCTCTCATGCTAGGCGAGCACTCTACTGCTGAGCCACAACCCCATCCCCATGTTTATCATCATTTTGGGGATTAAGACTATAGCTCAGTGGTAGAGTGCTTGCCTAATCCCCAGTACCTCCCTCTATAATTTATATGTGTGTGTGTATATATATACATACATATATATATATATATATATATATATATATATATA